TGGTAAAATAACTATCAATTTATTTTTAAATTCTTTAAACTGTAAACTATAATTTCCTCATATTTTTGTGGTTAAAAACAGAGCTTAATGCAGACTTGTAAAAATATCAGTCTTTATAGTAAAATATATATTATAAAGTCACAAGTAAATGTCAACAGATCTCTGTTGCTACTTATATGAAATACAAGCAGAAAATTTGAGAACTTTTATTTTCCCCCTACAGGTAGGTTGGCAAGCAGAAAAGAACAGTGTACTCTGCATCCCACAACTTAGAATCCTGCCACACATCATCCATATAATTTTGATAATCCTGATGGCATTGACAATGTGATTTTAGTCAATCTGCTTTTTCAGGCTATGGCAAAGTCTCCCTCCTCTCCTATAAATTGAGGAAACTAGTTTGGTTGTTGCCTTTTTATTCTTAAAAGTGATGACTTCAATGATTTTAGATTAAGAAAACGACCCTAGGTTGTTGATTCTGATGTCATGTGTTTAGTCTATATGCATTTAAATTTTAAATATGTTTACATATTTGTATGAGAATATCAAAATTATTTTAGTAACCACCTCATGAAGCCACATTTGGCTTGTATGGAACCTTTATTTATATGTGTTTGTATGTGTGAAGAGAGAGAAAGTGAGATGCATAGAAACAAGAGGGAAACCATGAGAGAGGTTGTTGATGTATACCATGTATATTCTTTTCTACCCATGAAATATGTACTCTAGTTAAAGATAAGATGATCAGAGTGATTTTGCTATATTTATTCAGCTACATGATTTACTTGGAATCTTTAAATTGGCTGTTGTCTTACATCTAAGTCATTCATTAGGACAAAATTGAGATAAGGTCAACCCTGTCAGACCAGACTTCCATAAAATTTGCATATTCAAATCAGAAGACTCTTCTTTTCACAAACATCCAGAGATCCAAGTAATATGCTTTAGCAGATAACTAAAGTCATTGACCTAACTTTCATGATCCTGGCTATGCTATCAAGCCAAATGCAACAGAAATCCCAAAGTAAGTAGATTAATTGTGTCTCCTGAAAGTGTTCTTGACTAAAGCCTGGAAGACCATATAGTAAAAATTATGCTTAAAGAATTAAAACTGTAAGCTATGGCTGACATTATTATGGAAAAGCGTTTTTACTGTTTTATATCCATGCATGTTATACATACACAAATAAATTGCTTATTTAATTTTTTTATTCTTAGGACTCTAATAGATGACACGTCATCAATTTGCAAATAAAGTGTAAGTTATTTAGTAAGTAATTTGGGCCAATTTTTACTATTATATGATGAGTGTATTGAACACGATTTGATCAATTAAGGAGAAAGTTACTCAGACTACATTCAGCAGTTCCTTGCATAAGGGAACCTGTAACTGGATTTGACAGTAATGTTCCTTCAGCACTTCAGGATCAGGTACAAATGGATTTTAGATTAGTGTTTATTCAGGCTGTAGCTTTTATATTCTTGCCAAAAATAAAGTACTTTACTTTCCATTTACAAAATACAATAAAAATTTACTTGCCAGAGCATTATCTAAATAACAGCGTGGCTAAGATAAGCTCAACACAACTTGAGAATAAGAAGCAAAAGGATATGATCACTTCATACTATCTATGGATGTTTTAAAATTAAAAATAGCAAATGTATCAACACCAAGGATTTAAAAATAAAGGAAAACAATACAGAATGCTTCTGACTTTATTTTACAAATCAAAAGCACAGTTGTACTTCCAGGTCACAAACCTTTAACAATCAACAAGCCCTGTTTTCCCAAGCAAAGGGAGAATGAAATAGAGAGGTGAGCACTAACTCTCACTAATACTGCCAATGATCCACTTTTGCTCAACAAACACATTAATTAGTTGAGAGCAAAAGCTTTTATTTGAACTGCAAAGGTCAGAACTATGAAAACCTGGGCTACATCACCAGTTTTCTTATTGTGTGGATTTCAGAAATAAATTCAGCAACTCTGCAGCACAAATCACCTACTTTCTGTCAAACAGTAACTATAGAAGAAGGATTTGAAAGTCTCTAGCCTGTAGGAACAAACCAAAAGGAAAGGGGGGTGGGAACACATTTACAAACTTTTATTTAGACAAAGCTGCTTTACTTCTGAAAATATTCCTAATAGGGCTAAAGGGGAACACTTCAATTCTCACAAAAATAAGAACACTGTAACTTTATTTGCTTTTCAGGTGAAGGAGTTAATATAAAGCAATGAAGGAAAATCAAAAGTAAAATAAATTGCATCAAATGCAATCTCAGAATTGTAATTCATTTCTAATATAAGGAATTGAAAATATAGGAATCCTTAAGGTTTTCCATAGATGAGTTCAGTATCCCGTGTGTGTGATTGTGTGTGTGTGTGTGTGTGTGTGTGAGAGAGAGAGAGAGAGAGAGAGAGAGAGAGAGAGACAGAGACAGAGACAGAGAGAGAGAGACAGAGAGAGACAGAGAGACAGACATACAGACGGAGATGAAAAGAGAGAAACTAAAGAGAGAGTGTATGTGTTGGGGTCAGGTGAGGAGCTTAAACAAAACCAGTGTTCTTTCACACATGTTTAAATAAAGAAAATACAGTTGAGAAGTTGTGTCAAGAGTGAGGCAACATTTTTGTTAAAAATAAAAATAGAACGCCATCTACTTATGGTTGAACAAAACTCAGAACACAAAAAGACCATATTATGACATGTGTAAACAGAAGGCAACTTTGAAAATGGATCCTTTGTCCCCTAACAGGAATATTGAGAGGATGAAGGTATCAATTACTGTTACTGATTACATTAAGGGTGATGTGTCTTATTGTTTCTATTTCATTGTCTCTATTTCATTCATTGTAGCTATTTATTGTGGTTAAAACTGTATTTTTTCAATTCCCAAAGGCATATAAGTTTCCTCAGAATCACTTTGAGCAAATTGCGTAATTTATTCCAATTACTCTGCAGGTTTTCTCTTTTGATGTATGAATTTCTTTGCTAGTTAAGAGATTAACACCATACATTGTGTTATTTTTAGGTATATCAGTTGGTCTTCTTTACAGATGCCTACAATCTTGATATTAGCTATCTCAAATTTTCAAGAATATAGGTCTAATTCTATTTGATGAGTCAAATAAAACTGAAGTGACAGAATATGTGAAGTACTTGCATAAAATATAGAAAAGAACTCATTGTATATGTCCACTCTAAAGTTTGGTATGATAAAGTTTAGAATGCAAAGACACTCAACCAAAGGGCAAACAGTCCCATTATAATGATGGATGAAAAAATAACATTCTGTAGGAAGGTCTCTTTGCAAGTTATTTTCTAGGGAAAATTCTGCATATCTCAACCTAATTATAGGGGTTCAAAAGTAGTCTTATAGGAAGTGCTGGTATTTTAACTGAAATGGTGCTTGATTACAAAACTGATAAAACACCAAAAACAAAAAAAAAAACAAAAAGTAAAGAACATAAAACAAACTAATTATCTGACTCTAATTCCAGATAAAGCAGTAACACAACAGGTACATACTTTGCATTTGAATTCCACTTCAATGAAATAACTTAGGCTCATGTGCATCAAAATATTAATTTGGAAATCCATTTAACACATTGTAGTTCAAAGCTGTGTTTTCATTTTTAACTAAAAAAGCATATTAAATCTATTTTCCATTTTCCATATTTAAATTTCTATAATAAACTACAGTAGACACAAACATTTCTTTAGAATGATAGGTACTTAAATTATAAAAACAGTACAAAGTTATTCTCGCTTCAATACTATCTTTATGATCCCATCAATGTCTTAAGTGGCTAAAATATAACTTTTCCTTTGCCTAAATAATAAGTTTACACATTTCACATATAAAGCATATTTTATAGAAAAACTATTAATCGATATTATTTGGCATACATACATATCTTTTTTTGAGATGAGTCTTGCAAAAACTGTTTTATCAGCAAAGTTGTTAAGATGTTAGACACAAAACATGCTCTCTGCTATGCTTCAAACTTCGGTGAGTATAAAAAGTTAACTATGATATTACATGTCTCATACAAGAAAACTTCAAAATTGAATTATATACTTTCTGAAGCACATCTCAGAATATACACATGCATATGCATATACACGCATACATTATATATAACACTGTTTTACAGTATATTTCACTCACGTGTCAAATATTCCATAGAACCTTTATAGTCTCAATATGTCACAATGCATACCAAGTATCTCAGATTTGAACATTTTGTTGCTCCACTTAAATAAGAAATGATTCTTGCAGTTTTCTTTCACTCATAAACTTAAAAAACTAAACACAGGGAGTTTAAATGATGGCTATATATCCTTATAGAAATCTCATTGCAGCAGCTACTGAGGTATTAAAAATACAATTTTACATAAAATTTACGCATCATCAAATATTTATCTTAAACTTGCAATTTTGTCAAGGTAATCAATACTTCAATATCTCAGATTTGGCACTACATTTGCATGAATCAGCTTTGACTTAGCTATAAAATCTTGCATAATGCATAACACAGCTAAAACTTTTATAGTGTTCAATTTGCACAGATGCTAGTAGTAACATCACAAATTTTCTCTCTGGATGCAGTTACTCCACTCCGTAGCCACAGATAAAAAAAAAAAATTGCAAGTTAAAGCTAACCATCCAAACAATATATACACAGTCACTGAGAAAACAGAAGGTGCAGGACAAATTACGACTGTGAAGTATAAAGAGAAGAACAAACCACTGCTTACTTTGAATGTTTGCTTTGGTAGTTTGGTAAAGAGAGGTCTAACCTGCAGACTGCAGGGGCCCACCTGGCAGAGGCAGCCTTGACCAAATTAAAGGTGCTGAAATAACATTCAGTCCCTGCCAATACATTTTAAAATAATAGCTTTCAAACTGAGAACACAATGCTTCACAGACTATGCTCTGGCTCTGAGTTCTTAACTCTCTCTGGGATAGTTCAGTATATCTGGGATACATCTTACCTGTTTGCTGTACTTGTTATTGGTTTGACAGCTGTATTCGGAGCAGTGATCTGATCCAATGGAAATGTTGTCTCCTGCTCCCACAAATGTGTTGGCTGGTGGTAGATCTTGTACGGCCTGGTGTTTTTTTCCTGCAGTTGGTGACTGGGGGTGAAGCTGGACAGTGGGCAATGGGGAACTCGATTTGTAATGCCTGGCCAGGTCAGGACTTCCAGGCCCACCATTCACTGACCGGTACCGCCCCATGCTGGGGCTGTCTGAGAGCTTCTCATTGACACTGTCATACCTCTGTCCATTTGGTTTAGAAGCTTCTACAGTGACAATGCTGCTGTAGAGAGGCTGCTTTGACTTTTTATTTTTCTTGTCTTTTTTAGGCTTTTTAGATTTGTCATGCTGTTGGGGTGTAAAAAAGTCTTCATGATCTTTCTTGCCTGCTTCATAGCCGTTCTTATTTTTGGACCTGCAGTACCTTGCCATCACTACAATTAAGATTATGAGAATCACCGTCATAATTCCAGCTACCACCCCGATGACGATACTGAGTCTCTGTTTGCTCATTTCATAGCTGGGGTCACCAGCTATATCCTGGGTGAGCGGAGTGTGCAAACTTCTGGCTATCTGGGAGTCAATCACGGTGGCATTGGAAACACTCTCATTGACAAACACATGCACTAGAGTTGTGGTGGACTGGGAAGGCTGCCCACTGTCATTCACTTGCACCACCAACCTGTGCAAGCCGTAATGCTTCTGGGTGAGTTTGCCCACTAAGGAAACCACACCACTAGTGGCATCAATCTCAAAGAGCTTGAAGGGATTCCCTCCCACAATGCTATAGTTAAGATCTGCATTGATACCATCATCACTGTCTGTTGCCAACACTGTAGCTACGACTGTTCTGACATTACTCGAAGGCGGCAGTAAAATATAGGAAATATTTCTTGGAAGGGTGACCGTGGGGGCATTGTCATTCTCATCCATCACAAAGAGAGAAACGGTGGCAGTGGCCGATCGAGGGGGATCTCCCCCATCCACAGCTTTGACTCGGAAGGTGTAGGTGGTCTGGTGTTCCCGGTCAAAAGACATGGTGGAGTAAATGGTCCCCGTGTCATTTTCAATGGAAAAGATGTTACTGTTCTCCTCTATATACAAGCTCATCTCTGCGTTGCGCCCCTTGTCAGCGTCCATCACCGTGACCATGCCCACGGGGCTGTTGGGCTGTAAGTTTTCTTTCACATAAAAGGTAAAGACGTCCTGCATAAACTTAGGGTCATTGTCATTCTTGTCAGCCACCTGCACGATCACCCTGGTGCTGCCCTGCAGAACGGGCACGCCTTTGTCTTTGGCATTCACTTTAAACTCATACCTGTCTGTCTGCTCGCGGTCCAGCACGGTGTTGACCAGGATGTCCCCGGAATCGGGGTCGATGGCGAAGATCCCCAGCACGGAGGAGTCCAGAGAGTAGGCGATCTCTGCGTTCTTCCCGCTGTCCGCGTCGGTGGCCAGCACAGTGGCCACCCTCTCCCCGGGGATGTTGTTCTCAGGGAAGTACACTTCCACCACGGACTGGCCGAAGACGGGCGGGTTGTCGTTGGTGTCCCCCACCTTGACAATCAGGGAATTGTTGCTGGAGAGGCTGGGGCTGCCCGAGTCCACCGCCACGATGACCACATTGAACTCCCGGGTGGTCTCATAGTCCAGCGGGGCAGAGGTGTGCAGGAAGTACTTCTTCTTGTTCTGGTCGCCCTCGGTGTCGCTGGCCGGCTTGAGCTGGAAGGGCACGTCGCCCACCACGGTGCAGGTGACCACCCCGTTCTCGCCTTGATCTCGGTCCGACACCTGCACCAGGGCGATGGGCGTGTCGACCAGCACGTCCTCGGCCACGTTGGCCACCCCGTCCTTGAGGGGGATGCGGCCGATCTTGCGGATCTCGATGGACGGCACGTTGTCGTTCTCGTCCTTGATGTTGAGCACCACCGTGGCCTTGTCGGTCTTGGGGGGCTGCCCGCGGTCGCGGGCCATGACGGTGAAGCGCAGCTGGTTGACCTCCTCGCGGTCGATGCGGTGCAGGACGCTGAGCCAGCCCGAGGTCTCGTCGAGGCGCAGCAGCCGCCGCACGGACTCGGTGGCGGCGCCGAACACGTACTCGATCTGCCCGTTGACCCCCACGTCCAGATCGGCGGCCCGCAGCTGCAGGATGGGGGTGCCCGGGGCGCTGTTCTCCGCTAGGTCGGCCTCGTACACGCTCTTCTCGAAGCGGGGGCTGTTGTCGTTCACGTCGGTGATGAGCACCCGCAGGATAGCCTGCGAGGAGCGGGGCGGCTCGCCGCCGTCACGCACCCGCAGGGTCAGCTCGTACGAGTCGCGCTGCTCGCGGTCCAGCGCCCCCTTCACGATCAGCTGCGGCTGCTTCTCGCCATCCGGGGTGTCGGCCACCTGCAGTTCAAACACGCTGCTCCGGCCGCCGCCGCCGCCGCCGGGGCTGGTGCCGCTGCCGCCGCCGCCCTCGGGCGAGTCCAGCCGCCGCTTGGAGCCGCCGCCGGCGCCGTTCCCGCCGCCCCCGGGGTAGGGGGCGCTGTCGGCAGCCCCGGGGCGCCGGCCCTCGCCGCCGCCGCCGCCCCCGGGCTCCTGGAGCAGCTCGTAGCGCTCGATGCCGTTGCGGCCGAAGTCGCGGTCGGTGGCGGTGGGCAGCAGGTAGAGCGTGCCCACCGGCCGGTTCTCCTCCACGGTGAGCGTGAGCACCGGCGACGGGAAGGTGGGCGTGTTGTCGTTGATGTCCAGCACGATGACCCGACCCTCGAACAGGTCCACCCAGCTCTGCGACGGCCCGATCACCGACACCTCGAAGTCCAAGAAGCACTCGTTCTCGTCGAAGATCATCTGACACTGGGGCAACTTCTCGCGGTCGATGCGCCGCTCGCTGGTGCTCAGCTCGCCCGTGAGGTTGTCGATCTTCAGGTACTCCGAACCCGATTCCAGGCTGAAAGTCACCTCCCCGGAGCCGGTCACGATGCCCAGGTCCGAGGCGACGTTGCCGATGCGAACGTCGGCCGGGCCCTCCTCGGCCAGCCGGTACCGGAGGAGTTGCTTGGCCGCCGCCAGGCTGAGCGAGAGCGGCAAGAGGAGGCAGCAGCTCAGGCACCAGCCGCGCGCCCACCCGGTGGTCCGCATCCTCAGCATCTTCTCGTGCTGCTGCTGCTACTGCTCCTTCTAGTCACAGTCCCCGCTCGGAGCCCCCCCTCCTCCGGGGCCGGCCGCCCGCCCGCCCTCCTCTCAGTCCTCTCCCCTCTCCGGGAAAGGAAGGAGCGAGAGGGAGAGGAGGAGGGAGGGAGGGGGGCCGGGCTGCGAGCAGAGTCCGCCAGGGGCGGGGAAGGGAGGGGGTGGCGGTGGCGGTGGCGGCGGTGGCCCCGCCGGAGATGCTCCTTCGGTGGCCGCCGGCTTCTTCCCAAAGTTATTGTTTGATAATGCATGCACCGGGTGCCACTCGCCCGCTCGCCGGCCGCCGTTCCAGTCCCACTACTCACAGTTCACGGGACACCGCGCGCCGCCGGCCCGGCGCCCCCCCGCCCAGAGTCATTCCCGCAGCGGCGTCCGGAGGATCCCGGGCTCCCGGCTCCCGGCTGGGGCCGGCACGGCTCGGGTGAGCGCACGGTGGAGCCGAGAAAGCGGCGGGGGAGCGAGCCTGCAGCCTCCCCCTTCTGCCCCAGCGCGCTGTGTCTTCGCGGCTACTCCAGTCCAAATTCCCGTCGCCGCCACTCACGGTAGATCTCCAGCTCCTTGCCCCGGCAAATGTGAGTCGCTTCCCGCGCGGGGTGCCTGTCGGGGCCAGCAACAAGCCAGTCTCAACTCCGGCCGCGCTCAGCTAGTGGGGAGTAGCCAGTGCACCGATCGAGCAGAAAAAGAAAAAAAAATCTCCAGCAGGTCGCCCCGGGCACCGCGCCGTGGAGCCCCCCTCGCGTCACTGAGCGGTCCGCGTCCGGATGCCCCCCGTGCGCCTCGGAGGAGCAGCCCGAACCATCTTCAGAGACACCGGATAGAGTCGGTCTCTTCTCACCCTCCGGAGAGCTCGTGTTTCTCTTTTATGATTTTTTTTTTCTTAACAACTCTGCGCAAGGTCATTAGTCACGAAGCCGCCGCCTGCAACCGCAGCAGCCGTTTGCCCGCGGGGGCGAAGGCTGAGCCGTGCGCACCGCGCGGTGCCCAAGTTTGGCTCCGCCGCCGCAGAGTCCGTGCCTTTGCTCACCTGCATTCGGCCCGCATGTCGGAGCTGTGGGATCTGCAGCGCTGTGCGCGATTCTGGGAGGAGATTGCAGCCTCCCTCTCCCTCTCCCTCTCTCTCTCTCTCTCCCGCGCGCGCTCTCTCTCTCTCTCGATCCCTCCCCTCCCTCCCTCTCTCCTCCCCCCTCCTCCTCTCTCCTCCCTCTTCTCCTTTCCCCTTTCCCCTTCTCCTACTCTCTCTGTGCAAGCTCCCTCGCCTTCCTCCCAGTCAGTCCCAATGCAGGCAACTCGAGCTGAACTTGATCCCTTTGGCAGTTCAAAGGTGAGCCAAGCAGGCTCGCGGCACTGGCGACGTGGGCCTGGCGAGAGCTCCCGGTCCGGCTCCCCCAAAGGCAATTAACAAAGATGCCCAATTCTGTCCGGATTTCCGAAGAAAAGCCAAAGGCATCGGGGAGGGAGGTGGAGGGGAGGTGGAGTCAGAGACAGCTGCCAAGTAGCTTTAAAAAAAAAGAAAAAGAAAGAAAGAAAGAAATCCAGTTTGCCAAGGGGAGGAAAGTGCCAGTCAGTTGTTGCCTCGGAAGTGTCCTGGCACGGCGGTTGAATTCCGCAGTTGTCTCCGTCCCCTTTAGCGTCTGGGAGAGTCGGCGGCGGGCGCTCCCGCCACCCCTGGGGCTTCCACCGCTCGGATACACAGAAAGGCAAGCGGGAAGCTCTAGGTCACTAGCCCCGAGCCAGAAACCCGCAAGTTTGCCCAAAGTGGCGGTTGTTTCGGAGAGCTTGCTGGTTTGCCCGTGTCTCGAGCTTGTCCCTGACGCTGCGGCGGCGGTAGCGCCGCTGAAACTACACACTAGCTAAGCTTGGGGGGAGGGGAGGAGAGAGACCCGGGAGTCTCACCCGCGGGAGCGCTCCCGAAAGCCCAGCTCAGGCTGCGGGGACCACTAGGAGGGTGCCCCCGGCCAGCCGAGCCCAAATGACCCCAGCCCCCCATCTCCCCAGACCAGAATCCAGCTCCTGCCAGCTCAGAGCTTCTTGCTCTCCCGCCCTCGCACTGGTAAATTTCCTCCTCGCTTTGGCAAAGGCAGAGTGCGTGTGCCAGAAGGCAGAAGCTGGCGAGTCGGAAACGTTTCTCCTTCTTCCCCCTGCTCAGGCGATGTCTGTCACCCTCCAAGTGTCCCGGGTTCGTGATTTGAGCATCTTGGAGATTTTTTAGCATCCTGGTGACTTGGGAGACCCTAAGTGCGCCCGGGAAGTCACGCTGGTGTTCTGCGAAACCATGGTGGGCTGCAGTGTTAAGAGAGAAGTCTAGGGAGAACAAGAGCCTGAGCCTTTGGGGTTGGGGGCGGGTGGCGTTTGACCCAGACTTCGAAGCGCTGGGGTTGGTGGTAGTTGGTAGTGGCGGTTAGAGGGTGCCTGCCTTTGTTTAAATGCTTAGCATTTCCGTTATCGAGCTTGCTTACAAGGATATGTGTATGTGTGCGTGTGTGTGCGCGCGTGTGCATGTGCACGCGCGCGCGCCTGGGGAATGAACACATGTTGGAAGCCTCGATATTATTTTGTGAGCAGAGACCTGCAAGCCTTTAGTAACTGGCAAAGTGTAGCGTCACCTATCTGGATAAAAGGGAAATAAACTTCAATGGCAACTTTGTGTACCGAAGTGTCCCTAGCTCCTTTGCTGTCTCCTTCTTTTGACTTTGTGCTACTCGACTGTACTTGGTATTCCCCCAGCTCAGGCTTCCCCGGAATCCTGTCACACACAGCCACGCCGCAGCCCGTCTGATCAGATCTCACTTCTGGTTGTTTTGGAACTGTCGCCTTTTCATCCTCGCTCCCCGCCTCCCGTCCCCCCACCCCCCCACACCTCCTTTATTTGCAGCGACTGTTAAACCCGGCAGACCCGCTAGAATGAAGGCGGCAGAGGCGAGCAGGGCACGTTTCTGTTGAGTTCTTACCACCCTGAAATTGTAAAGAAATTGCTACTGGGCCACGGCTGATTCTCATTCCGCCCGATCTACAGTCCCTCCTCCTGAAAGAAAAAAATGTAAAGGGAAGGGGTGGGGGGTGTACCCCGAGTGAGTACTCTGCCTTTCCGAGACCTGGATGAGGAGCGGTGTGATGGAAACAAACCTAACCCCAGTCGGGTCTAGGAACAGATGCGGCGCGCGGTTGTTTGGGCGAGCGCTGCCAGCAGCAATGGTTGGGGGGCGGGGGGTGTGAAAAGGGGAGACGTGTCCGAGACTTTGCAGCTTTTCCTACGGGGGATCGCCGAGGCGCGTAGGATGGGAACAGTGTGTGGTCTGCGCCCGCGAGCTGGCGAGTCTTTTCCAGGGTGCTAAAGCGAGGCGCCCACATGCTAGCGGCTCCCCGACCTCCGGGGCCCGGCGGGGAATAGGGTCTCCCCAGCCACTCGGGCGCCCCGGCCGCCACCCCGAGCCTCCCTGCTCGGTATCTGCAGCATCAGCGAGAAAAGCCCGTCGCGCAGACTCAGTGCGCACCACCGCAGTCTGGAGCCGGGGGGGGGGGGGGGGGGGGGGGCGGTCGCCGCAGCGCCTTCGCGGCCAGCTAAGTGGCAGTAAAGCCAAGTCCCCCTTCAATTTGGCAAGCTGCTTTAGCAGAACGCCTGTCCGCCTCCAACACCCAACCTCCCCCCCCCCCCACGTTTTTTTTTTTCCTCCCAGGGTGCAAGACGAAAGAGGGAAGCCGTCTTCCCTCCGTGGCCTCGCGCCCGTGCATTCCGATGCTTGGCAATATGGTGCAGTGCACTCACTCCCCTCGCCGCCTTCCCCAAGATTTCTGTAAACTTCAAGCGGTCGAGTGCGCAGAGACACTGTGCACTCCCTCTCCCCTCACCGGGCACAGAAACTTCAACCAGCACATCTTGGAAACATTTGCCCGCAGCTTGAGCGCGTACTCTCCAGGCACACACTTGCGAGGTTGAAAAGGAGTGGGCACCCTCCCCACCCCTTGTTATTATTATTATTATCATTATCTTTTTTTTCTTTTTTCTTTCTTTTTTTTTTTTTTTTTTTTTTGCAGAGCGCTCCAGATTTCGACGCCAACGGCCCGGGGATGTAGGAGCGTCCTTCACAGGGGAGTGCTTGCTCCCGGGGAGCGGGAGCTCGGTCTCCCTCCCGCCCTCCCTACTCTCATCCCCACCAAGTTGGTTGCCCAGCCAAGCCAGCGTGGGAAATGGGTCCGACGTGTGCTGCATGGAGAGCAGCGCGGCCAGACAGCCTGAGCGAGGTGGCCTCCTGCCCGCCCTCCCTTCCCCCAGCGCTCCGCAGCTCCGACCTCTCCGAGGGGCCAGCAGAGCCGCAGCAAAGGTGGCTTTGCCGGGCGACCCGGTGCCCGGGAAAGGGACGGGATGGAGAGGGGTGGGGGCGGCGGGTTGGGGCTGAAGGAGGGGAGCCCTCTGCGCTCTCTCTGCCGCGGCCAGGGCTCCCGATTATTCTCTTCCGCCCCCTGTCTGGGGACTGGCACTCCAGCCGGAGGATGAATGGAGGCGAGAAGCCGTTTTCCCCCACCCCCGCCCCATTTCCGCAGTCGCCCAGCCAGTGTCACAAGTGCTCAGCAATTTCATTAAATGGAACCCGGGGACTTAATCCCCCCCCCCCCCCCCACGGTACCAGATCTCACCCAGGGAATTTGATATCCGGCTTTGCCCCCACCCACAAACCCCGCCCGGGCTTTTCAGACCCCCCGGCAGCATTTATCTTTCAACCCGAGAGGAACCGGGTTCGGAAGGAAATAGGATCGCATGTGTAAGCGACTGCAATAAATTAAAGAGCCCGCTGCCGCTGCTTTTGCTACTGCTGCTGCTATCGCTGCTGCTACTACTAGTACTACTATTACTACAACTCCTACCACCGCTGCCTTCCCTGTTGCCTTGGAAACACACACACACACACACACACACACACACACACACACGGCAAAACCCAAAAATGAGATCAAAGTCCCAAAGCCTGTGTTGATCAGAGTAATGAACCAATATGTTTGAGGAAATAATAAAAGGTTAGATATTTCTTTTTTTTAGCTATTTTTCTAAACAAGAGGGGAAAAAAGAAAGTATCTCTAAAATCGAGACATAAAAATAGAACCCATTATAAAAATAACCTCC